CATGGCCCTGACTGGATGTCCTCATGGGACTTGGCTTCTGGCCCAAGGCCTCTCCCAGCAGGGTCTGAGGAACAAAAGCCACCTAACAATGAATGCCAATCCTGCATTTTTGTTTTTTTCTGCACTAAATTAAGCTGATGCCCTATTGGGAGTTAAGTCACAAAAGACCAGGACAGGACCCCCACACTGCTGCCACTTATTGTTTTGGAACAGCTTGTCTTCAGTAAACCCCGCCAGACAGTAGATGAAAAACAGTCCCGACCCCAGCATGCTGGCTTGTGCCCACAGCACCTCACAGTCCCCAGCTCCCCCCCGCCATGTTGTCTGTGGCATAGGATGTTGTGGGTTTGCCTTACTGTAGAATCAGGGTCTCTTTATCCTTTGTATGCACTCATGTCAACCAAAATGCTTTTAAAAACATAGTACTTTATTTTGTTCCTTAAATGCTTTAAAATTAATATTACAGTTTTCAAAGAACCTTTTTTTTTTTGAGACAAAGTCTTACTTTGTCCCTGTGGGTACAGTGCTATGGCATCATAGCTCACAGCAACTTAAAACTCCTAGGCTCAAGCCATTCTCTTGCCTCAGCCTCCCAAGTAGCTGGGACTATAGGCGCCCACCACAACACCCGCCTAAATTTGTAGAGACACGGTCTCACCCTTGCTGAGGCTTCTCCCAAACTCCTGAACTCAGGCAACTCACCCACCTTGGCCTCCCAGAGTGCTAGGATTACAGGGGTGAGCCACTGTGCTGGGCCTCAAAGAACATTTAAAGGGACCTGCCATATTCAACAAAGAAGGGAACTACATTAAAAAGACATAGCCTGGCCAGGCACAGTGGTTCACATCTGTAATCCTAGCACTCTGGGAGGTTGAGGAGAGAAGATCGCTTGAGGTCAGGAGTTTGAGACAAGCCTGAGCAAGAGTAAGACCCTGTCTCTACAAAAAAAAAAAAAAAAAGAAAGAAAGAAAAAAAGAAAAATTAGCCAGACATGGTGGTGCACACCTGTAGTCCTAGGTACATTGGAGGCTGAGGCAGAGGGATCACTTGAGGCCAGGAGTTGAAGGTTGCAGTGAGCTATGATAATGTCACTACATTGCACCCTAGGTGACAGAGTGAGATCCTACCTCAAAGGAAGAAAAAAGAAGACCTACTCTGACACAACCCAACCCATGTGAGTCTATACACAGGTGTTGCTGGGGTAGATTAATAACCCTTAATCTCTGAGACTCACAAAGGTGGCCTGACCAGATAGAGCCAAGGGGATACCAAAGTTCTTGCTCTGAGACTGACACAGGCCTGAGGGAACAGGCTTGTTCCTCTTTTGACCTCTCCATTGGGAGACCACCCGTTTGGTTGGAGACACGGAGTCTGGCCAAGCCCCACTGGCAACACTAACCTAGATGCCAAGTGCAGCTGGTGTGAAGTCAGGCCAGGGTCCCCGGTGTGGTGACCCCCATGATGCCAGACAAATATGGCTTCTTTTGACACTTCCTAATTGTAAGCTCAGAGCTGATTCTCCCAAGTACTCCCTAGTTACACAGAAAAGGGCCTTCCTTGGCCTCTGCAAAATAAAACCCAGATGAAATTTTGCAAAGAGCTGAGGCACATGGCCTCCTTGGAACTGTATCAATGCACTTGTACTCCTGGCTCCATTCTGCATATTCACACTGGACAAGGACTTGCAGGCCAGAAAAATAGCCTTTGGTTGAGCAATTGCAGTTAAGACCCTTGGCTCCTTGGTGGAAAGGCATGCTCGAAGGGTGTGCTGTCATTGTCCCCGGGGAACAAATGGCCGGTCTGTGTGGCCACACTCCAAATGGCTGTCTCAAGGGTCTCCATAGTGTTTTGGGACCACCTTTGAAACCAGTCTGCAGGGGCTGCCTCAGAAGGGACGGAGAGTGGGAGCCCTTGAAGCAGCCAGTTTGCTCCACACAATGACTGTTGGTCCCCTGTGTCCTTCCTGGGAGCCGTGGGCCCTTAGCACATTCCTCCTACCCCAATTCAAAGCAGAATACACAGAGGCTGGAGGTGGCTATGATTTGCAGTTATGTACTTCTGGAAACGCCTGATTCTTGCTGAAGACATTTATATGCCTTTGGAGAAATGTTTTTCATTTTTGTACTTTACTGAAAATTAGCCGGGGATGGGGAAGAACTTGGGATGAGAGGAGAGGAACCAAGGACAAACTCCGAGTGTCTCATCTTCTCCCCAGCCAGATCGGTCAGGGGGGTCCACTGGAACTTGACTGCCTCTTGGCCTATTCTTTTGTAGGACCCCCAATCACTGACAAGTATTTCTGGAAATCCCTCAAGGTGTCCATCATCTCTCGTATCCTCATGTATAAATCTGGTCATACAAATGGGATGCCTACTATTAATTTTCTTTTTCCAGCCCTCACTGTCCTGGCCTCTGTTTGTTAAACTGTGTGACACTGCCCTAACACAGACCTCTGATTGGTGGACTAAGGCCCTCGCTGAGACCACTATCAGCTCTATCAGCCACTCAGAAGAGGCTGCAGCAGTGCCACTGGGGGTGACATCCCTCCATCCCTTGCCAGGCAGTGTTGTTGAATGTGCAAGGGAGTTTCAGTCTCGGTTCAGTTGCTTGTTGCATAGAGATCCAATTATTGGGATAAGGAGGATTGCCAAAGAAGAGAGGAATTTCTTTAAATTTTCTTTTTTATTCTTTTATTTATTTATTTTATTGAGACAGAGTCTCACTTTGTGGCCCTCAATAGAGTCCTGTAGCATCATAGCTCACAGCAACCTCCAACTCTTGGACTTAAGCAATTCTCTTACCTTAGCCTCCCAAGAAGCTGGGACTACAGGCACCTGCCACAACACCTGGCTTTTTTTTTTTGTAGAGACGAGGGTCTTAGTCTGGCTCAGGCTGGTCTCGAACCTCTAAGCTCAGGGCAATCCACCCGCCTTGGCCTCCCAGAGTGGTAGGATTACAGGCGTGAGCCACCATGCCTGACCAGAAAGGAATTTTTGGATTTGACAAAAATGTCTAGTCAGGAGAACAGAGATACTGCCTCAAATCCACCTCCCTGTCTTGCCAACTGACAGTGATCATGGGCTTTTAAAGGAAGGGCCGTGTGCCTTGGGGTGGGTTGTGGTATAAATAACAAGGGGATATGGGCTTTGCGGGCAGGTTTTGGGGGGTGGTGAATCTTGCCATCAGGAAGTCTGCCTAGCGGCCTTCAAAATCACAGCTCTTTTGCAGAAAATCTATCATTTCTGGAAAACAACTCAAAAAGTCAAATAGTTAAGAGAGGGATTATTAAAAAAAACATGTAGGGAAGTGAGGTGATGGTTATGTTAATTAGTTAGATTTAAGCATTCCACATTGTGTATCAAATCATCACACATGATGTATACAGTTATGATTTAATAAAAATTTAAAAAATAATAAGGGGCAGTGCCTGTGGCTCAGTAGGTAGAGTGCCTACTCAGTAGGTAGAGGCGGGTTCGAACCTGGCCCTGGGCAAACTGCAAAACAAAAAAACAGCCAGGTGTTGTGGTGGGCACCTGTAGTCCCAGCTACTCAGGAGACTGAGGCAAGAGGATGACCTAAGCCAGGGAGTTGGAGGTTGCTGTGAGCTGTCATGCTACGGCACTCTACTGAGGGCGATAAGGTGAGACTCTGTCTCTAAAAAATAAATAAATATAAAAAATGATAAAAATAAAAAGTTATCTATATTCAGAATAAAAAAAAAAAACCATGTAGGGGCTCATTGAAAGTCGTTCACAGGGCCGGTTACAGCACTGCCCTACGTTCTGGGCACTGCTGCCAGTGCTGTTGGTGGCAGAGGGCTTTGCAGCGTGGGTGCTGGGCCGGGGGTGCTCTGCAGCAGAGTGCTTCTTGCCTCTTCTGGTTACTGGGGCAGGGTGGTCCTGAAGCAGGGTGGCTTCCTTTTTGCCTGCTTCCTGCTCTAGGATTCACACTTAAGCCCTATTGGGCTAGACCAGGAGACAGATAACAATTTAAAAAAATACCCATTTGGACCGGGTGCTATGGTTCACTCCTATAATCTTAGCACTCTGGGAGATTGAGGCAGGGAGATTGCCTGAACTCTGGAGTTCAAAACCAGCCTGAGTAAGAATTAAATCCTATCTCTATTAGAGGCCATGGCACTCTACCCAGGGCGATAGGTGAGACTTTGTCTCAAAAACAAAACAAAACAAAACACTTTGAATTCCAAATCCCTCTCCCACTCTCCTGAGCCAGGTATATCCTCTGGCCCCTTCTATTAATATTTCTTGAAGCAGCTCCTGGGTCCTGCATGCAGAGGCTGCCTGAACCTGGGGGTGATGGGGTACCCAACTTCTATTCTAGCTTGTACCTCTGTTCCACCAGACACTCGGCACTTTGCTTTTCAAAGACTAAAGGCAGACTGTGTCACATCCTGGGTGTCAGCTAATTTCCTGAGTATCGAGGCTGTATATCTGGTGGACTTCTGGGGCCAGATCTGCCAGGCAGAGCATGAGAAAGGGCCTTTTTGCTGTTAGCAGGTTATGGTGGAAGCAGGAGTTTCTAGACTATCAGACATCATCATCTTCCAAACCAAGACAGGCCTTGTAAACAGGAAGATGAGTAGAGGGACATCCAGGACACAATGCCGGTCTGTGTCCTGCACTTGTGTAAAGGGAGCCATCTAACTCAAGCCTGGCTGGGCCTCCCATTAAAGGAATCTCAGCTCTGGGTTCCTCACTGAAATATGGTCTATCAACACATATCCTGGCCCTGCTCAAGCAGGACTCAAAGCACCTCTGCTCCCAAGGTGGATAGTTCTTCCCAAAATCTGCTTTGGGTTAGTCTTTGTGTTCATGTCTGCTTTTGCATGAGGTTCATTCATTCAGCCTACAGAGTCAAGTGCCTGGGGGTGCCAGGCAGAGTGTGGAAGCACAGAGAGGGCTCTGCCCAGCCTGGAGAAGTGAGACTTGAGGGAGATTCCAGGAGGCAGTGAAGGCTGGGCTGCTCTGGAAGCAGCATACCTGAGACCGGCAGGCAAGCGAGGGAGCAGGAGCTGGGCCCAGGCAGAGGAAGCAGTACAGCAAGGGTGGGGAGATCTGTTGGCCCCTCTGCTCAGCATCGAGGAGTAGACCATGGGCATCCTCCATACCAAATGCCGCCTGCTTCATGGGCAACCTGGGGCGCTCTTTGGTGGTTGCACATAAGAATGCTTTGGACTGCATAGCTATGGGGATGAGAGGCATGCTGGAGTCCCATCATGTTTCCTTGGGAGCACAAGGACCAGATCTTAAAAGAAACCTCATGCGAAAGCTCTGGTGGTCATCTTTCTCCTCCAGCTCAGCTTCCTTGGGTGGAAAGCATAGCAGACTCGGCCAGGGTCTCAGGTGCAGTCCCTTCTGGAACCAGTGAGCTCTGCTGCTGGATGGGCACCCTGTAAAGGCACTGCACCAGTGACCAAGGGGAAGGAGGAGTGGGGGGGGGGGCTGGCCCAGGGCCATTGTGCTCCTGGCCAGAAATGCCACACTGAGTGCACAGTGATGAACTGTCAGATCTCCTTTGGCACCTGTGATGGGTATTGTTTTGTGATTACATATTCAGGCATAAAAATGTTTAATGGTCTTTTTTTCTTTTCAGGTTTTGGCCGGGGCTGGGTTTGAACCCGCCACCTCTGGCATATGGGGCTGGCGCCCTACTCCTTTGAGCCACAGGTGCCACCCTAGTCTTTTTTTTTTTTTTTTGAGACAGTCTCATTATGTTGCCCTTGGTAGAGTGCCGTAGCATCACAGCTCATGGCAACCTCAAACTCTTGGGCTTAGTTGATTCTCTTGCCTCAGCCTCCAAAGTAGCTGGGACTACAGGCACCCGCCACAATGCCTGACTACTTTTTGTTGCAGTTGTCATTGTTGTTTAGCAGGCCCAGGCTGGGTTCAAACCCACCAGCCTCAGTGCATATGTATGGGCACTGAGCCAGATGCTGAGCCTTTTAATGGTCTTTTTATTTACTTATTTTTGAGACAGAGTCTCACCCTGGGTAGAGTGCCCTGGTGTCATAGTTCACAGCAACCTCAAACTTTTGAGCTAAAGAGATCCCCCTAGGCTTAGCGCCTATAGCTCAGTGGCTAGGGCGCCAGCCACATAGACCAGATCTGGCAGGTTCAAACCCAGCCTGGGCCTGCCAAACAACAATGACAACTACAGGTGAAAAATAGGGAGGCATTGTGGCGGACGCCTATAGTCCCAGCTACTTGGGAGGCTGAGGCAAGAGAATCATGTTAGCTCAAGAGTTTGAGGTTTCTGTGAGCTGTGATACCACAGCACTCTAATGAGAGTGACATAGTGAGACTCTGTCTGAAAAAAAAAATTCTCTTGCCTCAGCCTCCTGAGTAGCTGGGACTACAGGCACCCACCACAATGCCCAGCTAGTTTTTCTACTTTTAGTAGTGACAGAGTCTCACTCTTGCTCAGGCTGGGCTCAAACTCTTGGGCTCAAGGCATCCTCCCGCCTTAGCCTTCCAGGGTGGTAGGATTATAGGCATGAGCCACCACACCCAGCCTAATAGTCTTTTAATTTTTTCTTTTTTTCTTTTTTTTCTTGTTTATTGTCTTCTAGTTTTTTAAGGTGAACTCACTTTAGCTTGTAGACCCACCCCATTTCTCTCAAGATGGGAAAACTGTCTTGCTTACTCAGAGTAGTTTCTTGTCTATTGGGTGATGACTCAGTTGAGTTCTGGGTAATTATTGCTCTTGTCCTTCCCTTCTGCCTGGGTGACATCTGGAAAGGCTTATGTAACGTTATGGCAGCAAGGTTGGTCATGACCACCTTGTCCCTGGTCACTTTGCTACCTCTCTGGCTTCCACTGAGGTCTAACTTGGTTTGCTTGGCCACTGAATGCCATCCTCTGCTTTTGATATCCGCATGCCACCTATTTTGCATCCTAGTTGTCCCAACCCAAGGTCTCTTCCAATGTGCTGGTCCTTTCACTACTTCTGGGAGCTCATCCAGGAGCCTGGGAACTCTTAGCAGTCATCACCTGCCCATGAGGGTGTCAGGAACTCTGTAGTGCTACCTGGATGGACAACTCCTTCAGACCCTCACTCTCTTCCTTCTGCTGCCTTGTTGAACACAGGACTTCTCCATGCGGACTGCAGTCTCCCACGTTGATTGTTGGAAACCAGGGCTTCCAGATCAGGGAGTTTCTTTCCTACTGGGGCTCAGCCCAGAGTGCTGGGCTCTGGGTTTCCTCTCAAGGACATACCAGACTTTAACCAAGTCATAGCAGCTCTGTTTTCTCTTTTCGCACCTCCTGGTCAAAATCCACTAATTTTTTTTTTGAATGGAAAAATTGTTTATGTTAAGATGCCCTGGCCTTATGATAATGGCGTGGAGTACATGCAAAGTCCTCCAGGATCTTAGTACTTAAAATTTAAAGGTACACTTTTGGAACAAGAAATCAAACTACATTGGCTCGGTGCCTTTAGCACAGAGGTTATGGCACCAGCCACATATACAAAGGGTGGCGCGTTCGAACCTGGCCCTTGCCAGCTAAACAACAATGACAACTGCAACAAAAAATAGCCGGGCATTGTGGCAGGTGCAGTCCCAGCTACTTGAGAAGCTGAGGCAAGAGACTCACTTAAGCCCAAGAGTTTGAGGTTGCTGTGAGCTGTGATGCCACAGCACTCTACTGAGGGCAACATAGTGGGACTCTGTCTCAAAAAAAAAGAAAAAAAGAAAGAAAAAAGGAAAATAAAAGAAACCAAACTACAATAAGATAGCATTCTAACACTCTTGCATTGACAGCCACGGCTTATAGGAATTTTGTCTCTACTATAGAATTTTAGAGGTCTACACAAGAGTTCAAAGGCTAAAATTTCAAGTGATGACCTCAATAGCAGGCACACCTGAGCACTGCACATTGAAGATGCTCTACCTGGGCTACAGCAGTGGGGCAAAGAGTAGAAGCAAAAGGAATAGGAAAAAACACCCAATTTCATTCCAAAATATTATCTCACTACATATCCGAAGGATGATCATTGATTTCAAGAGTGAACCAACAAAGCATGTTCTCCAGGACCCCTGATAAGGCAGGAAGCCAAAGGTCTTTGCTCAATACTCCTCTGTCAAGGAAGCTTTCTCGCAAGACACTACATAGGTTGGGTCATATTTGGTTTTGTGCAATGAAAACCAAAGGGGGAACTTCCACTTACTAGTTTCTACAGATAGAGCTGCAGCTCTGTCCTTTAGCTCGAGAGGCAGGAAAAGACATCTACGGTGAGTGAGGATGTGGAGAAGGGGGTGCCCACACAGTCAGGAGGAGTGAGCAGCAAAACAGCCTTCATAGAAGATGTTTTGGCAAGAGCTAGCAACATGTTAAACGTGTATGTCCTTTGATCTTTTTAAGTGGAAGTCTAACTATTTTAGGAGAAAATCCTGCAAAGATGTGAATACAAATAAGCAGAGATATTTACAGAAAGATTTTTACGGATGATATGATTTTAAATAGCCCAAAAATAAAACAAGAAAACCTGTGTGTATATTGACAGAAGACTGGCTGTCTCAGTCTGTTCATGCTGCTGTACAAAAATAGCACGGACTAGGCAATTTATAAATACAGCGGAACCTCTATAAGTTGACCACCCAAGGGACTGTAACAAACTAGTCAACATACAGAGGTGGTCAACATAAGGATCTAGGCCTATAGCATGCGTACATACATGCGGTGCACGTCTGGTCTATGAAAATGAGGTCAACTTAAGGAGGTGGTCAATGCAGGGAGGTGGTCAGCTATGGAGGTTCTACTGTAATAGGTAAATAGATATTTATCTACTGAGATCAAGGTGCTAGAAAATTCAGTGCCTGATGAGGGCTGCTCTCTGCTTCCAAGATGGTGACACATGGATCGTCACCTTATTACTTGGCATAAGGCAGAGAGCAAAAGGGGCCATATAGCTCCCTTGTACTTTTTCTGTAAGGTCATTAATCCTATTTCTGAAGGCTTCTCTCTCATGACTTAATCACCTCCTCAAGGACCCACTTTGTAATATCATCACATTAATGATTAAGTTTCAACATATGAATTTTTTGTTTTGTTTGAGACAGAGTCTCACTCTGCTGCCCAGGGCACAATGCTATAGTGTCTGCCTAGCTCATAGCAACCTCATACTTCTGGGGTCAAGTGATCCTCCTCCTGCCTCAGCCTCCTGAGTAGCTGGGACTACAGGACCACAATGCCTGGCTAACTTTTCTATTTTTGAGTAGATATGGGGTCTTACTCTTACTCAGGCTTGTCTTGAATTCCTGAGCTCAAGAGATCAGCCTCCCAGAGTGCTAGGATTATAGGCCTGAGCCACCAGGCCTGGCATACAACATACACATCTTGGAGGGACACATACATTCAAATCATAGCACTAGTGAAATAAATGATGATATATCTGAACTATGAAAATCCATGCAGCCATTAAAAAGAATAAGTAGATCTAGCTGAGCACAGTGGCTCACACCTGTAATCCTAGCACTCTGGGAGGCCAGGGCAGGAGAATCACTTGAGGTCAGGAGTTCAAGATGAGCCTGAGCAAGAGTGGGACTTCATCTTTACTAAAAATTTAAAAAATTAGCCAGGCATGGTGGTACATACCTGTAGTCCGAGGTATTTGGGATGCGAAGGCAGGAGGATCATTTGAGCCCAGGAGTGCCCAAGTTGCTGTGAGCTTAGATCATGCTACTGTACTCCAGCCTGGGCAACAGTGCAAGGCCCCACATCCCTCCCCCGACAAGAAAAGCTTTTATCGGCTCGGCGCCTATAGCTCAACCGGCTAAGGCACCAGCCACGTACACCTAAGGTGGCAGGTTCGAATCCCCAGCCCGGACCCGCCAAACAACAATGACGGCTGCAACCAAAAAATAGCCGGGCGTTGTGGCGGGCGCCTGTAGTCCCAGCTACTTGGGAGGCGGAGGCAGGAGACTCGCTTGAGCCCAGGAGCTGGAGGTTGCTGTGAGCTGTAATGCCACGGCACTCTGCCCAGGGGGACAGCTTGAGGCTCTGTCTAAAAAAAAAAAAAAGAAAAGCTTTTATCAAGTTGATCAATGAGGAACCAAAATGAAAAAAAAAAAAACCAAAAGAATTTAACACCCCTAATCCACCAAATATCACAGCCTAACCTAGCCTAC